CAAAACAGGGCTCGTTAGCTCCCATGAAAGTATTCCATCGATCTTCATAGCAGCCACGCCGGCACCGAGGGTCCAATTAACGGTTAAACATGTAGTAAAACTGCCGAATTAAGTCTACAAAAACCAAAAACGAGCCACTTTGACGACTCACGGGCACGGATACCGTCAGCCTAACTGCCCGGCAGTCCGAATATTTCATCCATATTGGTTCTTTTGCTATCGTCTTATATTTACGATGAAACTGGCCGGCTTTGTAGATTCCTTTATCATTTCTACTAGTGCATCCCTGTTTGTTATAGGCGTCACATGAGAGTACGGTCTGTCACGGTCGTGACGATTTCCTATAACAACCAAGGTGTGTTAGTAGAAATGATATATGTTTTACCTCTTGTTTAACCGTTAATTGGAAGAAACGGCGTCGACTCTACTCTATGCTCAAGAAACCACAACCGCTCAACTGCGAAGCCACTTCTGTTTTCTTGATCGCTTGGTGATTCTAAATGAAGATAGAATCCTTTCCCGGCTGCCAGGCATATAGCCGCAGCGTACAAAAAACTTTAAAGACTAAAACGATGTATTTGGCGGCCATGTTGTTTTTCTTCATTCTGGGGAGAGAAGTCTTGTAGCAGCTCTTCTCACCCTAAAAGCTAAATGGCTTGTGATGAACAATGTTGTGTTAATGTTTTCCCCGATCGATGAAAAGACACCTTACGAGTAGGGAAAGAATCGTACGATCATAAGGTTCAGTCGGTAGCCGCGCGACTGATAGTTCATAAATTTCTTAGACGTTCCCCGGCATGGACCAAGCCTGAAAGAGTATTAATGGATTTTATTGTGAGCTTTACGTCAAGCTTCGATCAGTTAAAGATTTAATTTTACACGGAAATTGAAAAAGTCGTCCTTAAAACAGTCAATCACTATAGAGAAGGAATATAGACCTCTTTTAAACTCGTGTTGTCAGCGTGTGCCGAGGTGGCACTGGTCGGTTATAAATTAAGCCGTGTGGCTCTGGGGACGAGAATGGTTCAGTGGGTAGAGGCGTTATCTTTGAGTTCTAACTGATTCGGAGGGTCCGGGTTCGAATTCCCGAACAAGTTTTCGTAACGTTATTTTTCTTGTCTTTTTTTAAAATCTCTTTTTTACTCTCTTTTTTACCTGTGTGGTGCATATAGCTAGTAACATAATGTTTACATTGAAAGCAAAGTTTACAGGAATATAAAAAATGCGGTATGTATCAGCGTATCTACCGGTATTATTAGTAATACTGGACAATGTTATCATTACCCAGCTCAATCGTCGATTCACATGTGCCTAATTTAATTCGAGAGGTAACTGCAGCTTTGAGATAGGACGTCTGAATCAACTACATTCCACAGTTTCAAATTACGACTTTGTCGAATCTGCGACTGAAACAGTCGAAAATTCGACTTAGGTTCAACATTTGATTTAAAAGTGGCATTTCACATGAGCCGAATATAATGCATTAATTATAGAAACCCTTATCCACATTGGATGAAAAAAAAATTTTTCTAGAGACTGGTAATATTTACAACAAACGGAGTTAAATTCGGCAGCATCATATCCGACGTCTGAATCAACTGCCCTATTCAATTACTTTCATCAACTAAAATAGGTGTTCGGCTCACATAAGAAATTCCACGTTTGAAAGGGGCCTAACATGACATAAGTTTCAGCTTAGTGGTTCGCAGGCAGTTATTAAGTTGTCGATTTCTTTTCAGTAATAGCAATTCGTATCTCTCTTTATAAATCCATTTTATTAATCGGCTTGTGCCGCGACTGAAGAATCAGCATTAATAGTTGATTTTACTTTCTCTTTGACATGATTTGTATGTCACTGGACATGATCTGTATATCAAAAAGAGAGATCAATTTTCATCCATCCATTTCAATAAAAGCAACCTCGAACCGTAACTTCGTCTTATAAATATGCGGCACCGAAGAAAGACGAAAAAGGTAATCCTTTTTGATCAAAATATTTTAAGGTTTAAACTGGAAGCTTTATATACTATGAAAAATTATAGTTTACTTTTACCGGTATCGTTTGTAATTTAAAAAAAAGTCATCATCATCATCATAATAAAGCCGCGTAATGTTGACGCATACTCTTTTGAGCGCGCGTTTGTTTTCGTCAGTCCCGTAAGATGTTAGGGTTTGCGAAACACGTATTTTTAGTTTGAAAAATAGTTTTTTTCTCCTGCAGGTATTACGCTGCAGTAAGTCACTCAGGCTACCTTACTCTTACAACTCCGTATCTGGATATGGGAGGAGCTGGGGAAGTTATTACCGCTGCTCGTTCTTTGTATCGCGGAGAGTCTAGTGATAATGTTCTTGGAGTAATGGGAGCTGATTTTCCTTTGAGACACTTTTACAGGTCCGATGGTATAAGTTTGGAATACTTTGTTTTAAAACTTTGATATGTATTGCAATTTGTTTACGTCAGTGATGAAATCCCACAAATATTTCCAGCGGTCTTGCCCAAGCGACTATACAACACACATACACCATGCATTCATTATCATCTTCGAGACAAGACACACAGGTTTAATCATGGCCACATTAAACGTTCTCGTCAAACTCCTTCCCTCCTCACCCTTTCTCCTTTCCCCTTGTTTCTTCATTGGCGTTCACCACTTTCTTTCTGCCTCCTGTTCTTATTTCCATCTTCTCAATTTCTTGGGCGATGCTCGCGGTAAGTATCTCGTTTTGCAACCTAGATTTTATGGGTTGCAACGTGTTCGACATTCGGTCCGGTCACATATATTTTCAAGGTCAGTATTCTCTGTACTTTTTCCCTTTTGTTTGCAGTATTTTCTTACTTATATTCTTTGCTTTGGTCGTTTTTGTTTTCAGTGCTTTCCTTGTTATTATTTTCCTGCAACCGCTCCCGGGATTTCAGTCTTACAAGGGGGTCTAATTCCCTGTCGGATTACCGGCGCGTAAGACTGCTATCCCTCGAGCCGCGTCGTTTCCGTTACTGTCCTCACTGTACCACTCACTTTATCTGTCAGGTTGCAATTCCCTAGCTTAAGCATTTCCTTCTGATCAGTTCTTGTTCAGTTCTCGCACTATGTCTGCGTTTTCATGTTTCCGCATGCGGGGTTTTCAGTTTTTTCGTTTATATGCCTATTTTGTCCTATGCTGTTTAGTCTTCGGGGTTCCTAGTTTTATTCATGTACAGTCACTGCATGAATTTGATTTACTAACATGCTGCTATTCCCGTTGGGTTTTTTAAGGTACGTGTTATAAAAAGGATACTATTTGCAGCGGTCTTGCTCAAGCAACTATATAAGACATATACACCATGCACTCATTATCATCTTCGAGACAAGACGCACAGGTTGTTGTTATGGCCATGCACCTCGCCTTGTCCGCTCTCCACTTCATGGCACTTCTTTCGGATGGTTTGTTTTTCTCTCTTCCCTCCCCATCCTAGCCCATAGTATCCCGGGCCTGTATCCTTCATCCGCAAGAGGCCGCCAGATTTCTCCATCACTTAGCATAGGAGCGCGGGCAAGATTGATGAAAATAGGATACTATACTTTTGCTGAACTTTGTTCATATAACAATAGGTTTTTATCATACATTCAAAATTTTTCTCCCTTTCTGATGGGTTCAAATCCCCCTACTGATTCTTCAAAACCAGCTAGCGTTGATCAGTTTTGAAAGATTTTTGCCGATATCAAAGAAACTGACGTCAATTGTACTGATATGAACAGAAAAGGGGTCAGCAAAGGGGGCGGTGGCTCAGCTGTTTTGACAGTGCTGGAGGAAATCGTGGAACTCACGTGAAGCGAAGATGAAGAAAAGAGGCGTCTCGCCGGTACCCATTTACAGCTATTTCGAGAAAGGTTGTCGGAAAAAATGCACTCGACAATTCCGAAAGGTATTGTGGGTGGTTTTGAGTGCTCTGCTCTTCAAATAAATTTGAAAAAATGGCACGGGAGGCCACGGACATATGTTTGCGAGTGCTAAAGGAAAGCAACAAAAGTATGTTCGACAGCTCCAGTCGTCAGGAACAGTGTATTGATCATATCCCATATTACCTTTCGGGATTTTTCGCGTGCACATTTTTTCCGACAACCTTTCTCGAAATAACTGTATACATATGGATAAATTGAGGCACGGTCAGAGTAAAACTGTTTCCCAAGAAGAAAGCAACGTAATGATCCAGGGCAGGGCTCAAAATCCGCATGTCATAATCTGCATTTGGAGTCCATGGAATGAACAATAAAGCCACTGCGCCTCTCGTTCATTAAGTGCGTTTTAATTACATATTTCAGGTTACTTACAACAGTTTATCCCAAGTGTGCAGAATCACAGCAGTACTCATGTTTCATTATGGATCACTCTGGCTTCCTCGTAATGCACCCGGATTTCATGTTGCCCTCAGCTGAAGCTATCGATGTAGAGCACGTTCATATCACCCAAAAGGAAAAGAGCATCGCAATTGATTTAATTAGTGATGGCTACTTAGTAAAGAGGACGTGTCGAAATGTGGAAAGTATAAGAAAGCAGAGCTTTTATGAACTTCATTTGCCTCCGGAGGGATCCAGTACATTACAGTCAAGCCAGGGCTGCAAATATGAGCTTAGTCAAATACCTGGAACAAACGTCTACTTAGGTTAGACAACTGATATGTTCTTAGTAATACACAATCCTTTGGGCCAATTGTTTGCTATAGGAATGTAGCACCTATCTGTAAAAGAAACGGGGAGAGGGAGGGGTAATATTTCACACAAGTGAGTCAATTAAGTATTCAGGGCTCGTGTAAAGCTCGAGCAGCTTTTTATCTAAAATATAGCAAAGATGTCTCATGCATAAATTACTTTAACTCCTCCAACTCAAAGTTAGGGATACTTTAACAAACTTAAAAGAAAAATTTCAGGAAAAAAGTTATTACAGTTGTACAAAGGTAAGATAAAAAAATGTCAAGCGAAGTTTTCAAAATGGCTTTCATTTCTCTCATTATACGAGAAAACGTGCATGGATACGCTACAACAGAATAGACGTTTAAGCACACTTGGTCATCATTTTTCATTAACGAAAAAGTGACCTTCGGATCTCAAAAAGGTTGCTAAAACATTATAACATTAGATAGCGTAGATACTTAACTGCACAGTTGATAAAGGGCTCCCCTTATTCCCCCAAAAGATGGTTGATTACAACGGAATAGTTTTAAACGGGTTCATTTTGTTGGTCCATCTTATTTCAAAATAGTTCTGGATGCAAGTCATATTTATGTCCTTTTAAAAACCTTGTAGAGCTATTCTGGATTAGACCTTGATGATTTAAAACTTTCAGGCACTTTCAAAAGGATCGATTAACATCTAAACATGGTAGATATTTCAACCGGCCTTGACACGGCTTTGTCATGCATGGTACGGAGATTTGCACTTTTTGTCAAAGCTGAGCTGAAATTATATCTTTAAGTATTCTTGTTCATCTTTTCTCATACATTAAATCTTCAAAGACGGATATCAAACGATTGTATCAAACCAATGATCCGTTTCCATCTTGGCCGTTGAAAGATAAAGATATGCACTTATTTAGTTGAAGTATGAGTGGCAGAGTGATTCAACCATTGAACTATTATTTCAGAATTTTGTTTGATTCTAAGGTGCCTTCAGGGTTTTTAAGTAACTAAAAAATCGTGATATAGTTCCCTTTATATGTAAAGTAAGGTCAACTTGGCTTTCTTCTCTGCACAGGTGTTGTCGCGCTAGATTCCCTCTGTGTTCCATCGTCCTGCTCGTGCTCTTCAGATAACGAATGCTCCAGATTGGCTGGTTTGACGTGTGAATGTCCCTGTGCCTCCGCTCTGGAATTTTTTTATTGTCGAAGTCAGTTTCCAAACAGCAGGTTAGTCAACATAATTCAAAGTCATTTTATATTTAGTGAGGATGAACACCGATTGGCCAAAATGCAGCTTTAAAAGCAATTTTCAATAACATGAGACTTGGAGTCAAAAAATTAACCAACGGTTGTAATCTTTGCTTTCTTCAATCAAAATTACGACGAAGTGAAACAATCAAAATGGAACGAAATTCACCAACCAGACCTAGTAAGGCCATGAACTGAAAACCGGATGTTTTCTGAAAGTTCTTCTTTCATTGGTTATTCAGACGAAAAAAGTAAATGTTGGTTAATTTTTTTTGCTTTAGTTGTCGCATATCATTATCATGAACATCATCATTTAAATCGCTGTTTGTAAAAGGAACCAACATATCTTTACAATATGAAACCTTCATCGAACCAATAGCCTACTGGTAAAATATAATACATCACCACCGACATTAACAGTTAAAAGTTTTCACGTTGTAGGGGCTATGTCACCCTATGAATTTAGCTATCTTTTTGAAAAGTTAAAAAATGTTTTCTCTTCAATTGAATTCTACAAATAATGGTCCAGTTTTGTTATTTAAGACTATATTTAGGCATTAAAACAGTTTCCTGTTGTCAGTTGCTCGGATGGCAAGGATGGACAGGGATTGAAACTTGAAAAAGTTGGGCCAAACTTTTGAAGACCAAATGCCTTACGTGTAAAAATCACTAAAAAATATTATGGCTAGTGCTCCCTGATGATCTTTCAGTTTGATATCTTCTTCAACTACAGGAGCATTTTATGTATGGGTAAAAGTAGACTACGAGTAGTCCCTCATTTTTACTCAAGGATAGTAGAGCGAGCGAAACGCGAGCGCGCGTGAAAATCTCCCCACGCAAGAAAAGGCGACACGCGGCGGGAAGAGAGAAAAATGAGGGACTACAGAAAAAAGCCCCAGCTTTTGAACTAATGCGTTGCTCTCACAACGCAAAACTCTGATTGGCTCGTCCATGGAAATCTGTTAACATCTGTCAAAAACGCGCCAGCCGCTATCAACACTCGACATAATCACGATTTATAGAACAAATAACTAGAGCAGAACAAATTACAGCACAGAACAAATAACTAGGGTTGCTCTTGCAGAAGCAACTAAGCAGAAAACCAACAACTGATGGGGTTCGCGTGGAGAACCGAAACCATGGTCTTGCCTGATCACAAAGTGGAAATAGCAGAACAGTCGCAAGGCTGTTAAGTTAATTCAAAAGTTATCACCAAGGGAGGAACTACGTGCTCCAGTCCAAAGACTCACATTTAATATCTCCAGAAAAACAAACGGCAGTTAAAATTCATGAGCAGTCATGACAGAGTCTCATCGCAGTTCTCCATAGTTAATGTCGTTTTAGTTTAAGCTGCAATCCATTCTTCGAGATTTGGATATCACTATCCGTCCTGCTAAAAACGCTAACGAGCTGGTCCCAGCGTGACAAAACATTGCAGGAAACCGTCACATTCACGGCCAAAAAGATAATCGCTTAAAATTATTCAGATCCAGGAGGCAATTGCTGGAGAAATTAAACAACCCAAAACCCTTATTTAGCCGCAATGAAGAGCTTTACTTTTCAAAAGAGGTCAAAAAGGAAATGCTCTTGAATCAGAGGGCAAATCATGCCAACCATAAACAATAACCGCAGAAAATTAATATGCGTGTCACGACCTCTCAGTGTGAAATAAGCGGCAAAAATCACATTTGCTCAGTCAAAACGTTTTCCTCCAGAGCATAATCTACCCGTCAGAGAAAAAAAATTCATTGGAACAAGCAGCATTTTGGCATGAGTAAAAGTCGTGTGTTGCCTACACTATCAAGTTCTTCACACGAGATCGAAAATTAGTATCTGGGTTTTCTTTTGCTTGCAATAAATATCCCACCGCAGTTTACCGATGACAAGAGCAATGACAGCTCAATAAGGGAAGGAATCCCATTGGATGCGCTTAATTGATTTGGAAGGGGATACGGACTTCACACTCCAAAATCAGTCGGCCGTGAAGGGTCAAAAGCTTGGGCTTTTTCTGTAGTCCCTCATTTTTCTCTCATCCCGCCGCGTGTCGTCTTTTCTCGCGTGGGGTGATTTTCACGCGCGCTCGCGTTTCGCTCGCTCTACTATCCTTGAGGAAAAATGGGGGACTACTCGTAGTCTAGGGTAAAAGCACTAGTAATAACTTCAGCACCGAATTGATCTTAAACAGCAATATAGCAACATAGCAACATAGTGTCTGACATTATTTGCTCTTATAAATAGCTAATAGGAGCAGTTTTTTCCGAAAGTATGCAAATTCCTTATAAAAAGCCCTTTGCATGAATTGACCACGTGATCAACTTCCGGTAAACAAGAAAACAGTTCATAATTGAAAAATTTTGTCAGCACAGGATGAAAGAGCATATTAAAATTAGGTAACTTGAGCATTTTCAGCCGTATATCTCAAAAGTAGCGATGGCAACGGCCGCCGAAAGTTAGAAGCATTTGTATGAGAATAACAACTTTTGCCACCCAGTCACGCTTGCATGGTTGACCTTACAAATTCTTGGAAAATTCGAAATTTTCAAAACTGTCATGAAATATTTCCTTAAGCATTACGGGGCTCAAATCTCGTTTAAATTCATAACGGGCAATCTGAGCCATTAAATACGTAAGCGAAAGATTTAAGGACAGTTTAGAAATTTTAGAAATTACAAGGATTTGTTTGGAAAACCACTCAAACGTGACTGGGTGGCAAGAGTTGTTTTCCTCACACAAATCTGTAGTGTCGGGTCACAAGGGACTTAATGTACGATAATTAGATGCGGAATGAGCGTTAACATTCGAAGCAAAAAGGGACTTGATTTGCATACAGGACAGTGTAGAACGGACTAGTAGGAGGACTATTAAAGGAACTAAGGACGTATAATGTAACCGTTTATTTGAGCTCGATTCGCGACTTCACAAAATCCTTCTAATTTTCGGCGGCCGTTTGCAATTGCTACTTTTGAGATATATCGCTGAAAATTTACCTAATTCTAATATGCTCTTTCAGCTTGTACTACTAAAATTGTTCAAAAGCTAACCGTTTTCGTGTTTATCGAAAGTTGATCACGTGATCAACTCATTCAAAGGGCCTATTAGCGGCAACAGACAATAAGAATTTCACTTAGGAAGGAACAGAAGAGGCTGTCAAAATGCAGCGAACTCACAAGATTTAAGGTTAATTACGCAGTAACAGTTGATGATTTTTACTTATGAAAAAGGCTAGAATACCTCATCCTGGGGTGGATTTATTATGTGGCATACATCTAGAGTTTTGTAACTCAAGATTAGAGTACCTCATACTCGGGTCATATAAGTTCTGTAGAGTTTCGGAATAAGGCTAGAATGTCTCATACTCAGATAGATATAACCACAGGGCACCCAGAATCACAACAGCCGTACTGGAAGCCAAATTATAAGGATTTGTATGGAAATTTATCTTAAGATCGATAAAATGCTTAAAATGTACAAAAACAGCTATTAAAGTGTACATACCTCATGAAAAGTTGTGTCTTTGTTGTTCTGTTACTGTTTCCTGTCCTATAAACGCTATTTTAGCAAGTTTTAATGTAAACTCGACTGTACTACGCTGCTCGGCAAAACTCAACGCGTGTCCATCCCTGCTGAGGGGGATTTTGAACAAGTGACGTTGCTACTAAAGCCAAGAGCAACGTCAGAGCAACGCCATTGGTAGGTCACTTTGCAGAAGAACGATTGTACCGACGCGGTAAGTTCAAATTTTTTAGCGACATTTCTCGTCCTCTTGAGGCCATGGCTCGATGTTTTGAACCGCAAATTGACATTTTCAAGGAAGGAGAATCTTCGTTTTGTACTCAAGCGAGGTCTGGGAGCGATTGCAGTGGAATGAAAGTAATTTTTGTAGCTTTTTTTTTCGGGCAGCGTAGTACAGTCGAGTTTTCCCTCGTCTTCTTCTTAATAGTTGAAAAACCAAAACATTAAAACTTGCTAAAGTGGCGTTTATACGTAGGGCAGGAAACAGTAAGAAAACAACAAAGACACTTTTTCATGCGGTATGTATACTTTAATAGCTGTTTTTGTACATTTTAACCATTTTATCGATCTTAAGATAAATTTCCACACAAATCCCTATAATTTGGCTTCCAGTACCGCTGCTGTGATTCTGGGCGCCCTGTGATATAACTTGAGGTATCTACAGTTGAATCATCCGCTCACCTTTTGTGAGAAACTAATTGACTGATTTCTTTCCTTTACTTTGTTTTGTATAGCCTTCCTTTATGCCCAACATTTGCACCTTCAGGACAACCTAACAATAACCCTTCAAATTCGAAAACGATTTGTCTTAACAAATGCTTTGATCCCCACTGTGAGAGGAGAAACAGTTCCCATTGGTGTGATGGGATAGTTAGTTGTTATTGGTGCCAGAAGGACGAGAACGGCAGAAAACTGGAAAAACCCTACTGCGCAAGCTCCGAACGCTGCTTCAGAGGAAAAGAGTCTGCAACCTATGAACGTAAGAGCACTTTGTTTTTTTAATTTCATTTGTCATTCCAAAGTACAACAATTAAAATTATTATCACAAAGCATACATGCACAAACGGACAACACACCTAAGCACACGTGCAATTCCACAATCACCACACAAGGTATGCCTACTGTTATTTTACAAGTGCTATTCAAAAAAGAAGAAACTAATCATTTTTGTAAAAGAAAAAAACTAACTAGATTACAAAGTCCATTTGTCCATTAATTTTTGAACGTAAGAGCACTTGCTTAATAGATCTTTCTTCCATTTGATTTTTCATATCCTTACCTAATTAGGTCTTTGCAAAAAGATCTTGCATAAATCTAAACTTGCAAACATTGACCAAATTTAGCGATGAATTGACTGGTATTTTTTACCATACTATGTCATACTACATGTCAGCGACCGCCTAGTAGACCCTCTTCTTGATTCTTTTCTTCGCTTTGGGTGCCGCAAGGGAGCCTTCTTTAATATCTTTGTGAATGATGTCAATTACTCAGGTGGATCTTCCTCCCTACGTCTGTATGCTAATGACACAACCCAATATATAGCCCCTGAGAGCCCCTGCACACTTGAATCTACACTGAATCAAGACATAGAGAGAGATTAAGCCCGTGGTTCACTGCGAATTGCCTGCAAGTAAACGCTACTAAAACTCAGGCAATGGCATTGCGGAAATCTCATTACCCATACAACCTGTATGGGTACTGAGATGGTGACAAGTTCATCGAAATTGAACCAACTCTCAAGATTCTTGGCGTTACATTGGATTGGGATTTGTCTTTCAAGCCCCACGTTGCAATCATGCTAAAAAAAAGCGTATGCTAAGGTAGCCGCACTACGGAGGATAAGCGTTTAGTTCCTTCGGACGTTATGATTTCTCTTTATAAAGCCTACGTGTTACCGCAGTTAGAATACTTTTGCCCACTACTTCTGGGCATATTTAAAGCCTTGAAAAATAACATCGAACGTACTAATCATTATGCGATCAAAACATTACTGAATTTAGGTAATTCGGCTACCTGTGACTTTTGCCTAGCAATGGCTGCTATGGACACGCTTGAGCAAAGACGTACCTTGCAATCGCTGATTCTATTTTTTAAATGTTTTAAACTAGATGGCATAAATTATATCTCCCCATTTTTTACACCTCGGTTAACTAACTAAAATTTACGAGGCAGTGGCTTAAACGTTGTGCAGCCTCCATATAACAGCCATGTCATGCCCAACTCCTATGTGTACATGATTGCCCACATGTGGAATTAGTTACCAACTGTAACCAAATCCCCGACCACTTTTAGCACAATTTCGTCCTCGCCTGAATAATGTTAATTTCACAGGGTGACAATGTATGAACTGTTTATAATATTATCTATTTTTAAATTTTTACATACTCTTGGGCTAGTTTATATATATATATATATATATATATATAAATACAAATCAGTTTATAAATAGAGGATATTACATGGCCGCGCGGAGATATGAAATTTCTCTTCGAGTCTTGAAATATTTTTTCAACACGTTTGTGGAGCGTTTTTAACATGAGCCTCTGGCTCGGAAGATTGTGCAAACACTTCCTACGTCTTCGACATTAAATAAATTATTCTACTCTATTCTAAAAGTTTGGAAGATTTACAAAACTCCCTATGTTCCCTATAGGAAAGATTCACTAACGTTCATAAAGTGCATTTATATATCTGTCTGGATTTATAAAAAGATACCTGCAGAAATTGAAGTGCGTTTTAACAATTTTACCCTTGAGGTGAATAAAAAGCGGTTGAATGTCGCTAGGTAGGGCTTAAAAAGGACAAATTAATCGCTGGCAACACACGAAAAATCGCTCTTGGCAAAAGCGACAGAAATGAAATGAAATGAACAACATCTAAAAGCACAGAAATTATAACCTTTCAGTCTCTCAAACTACGAGGCTCATTGCGAGATGCCCGACTAAAACACACCTAGAATCCACCTTCCTTGAACCCAGAGTCGGTTGTCTAAGACAAAATCACTTCTGACTAAACACTCACGAAGCGTTTTTATGTTTGTACAAAATATTCTTAATTGTAACACGAGCACCACGACATACTTGAATTCTGCCTACAACTTCAGGAAATCACACAATTAACCAGTTTCCCGGCACTGATAAAACTATCCACAACCAACCAGGAACAATGTTTCCACACTTGATACGGGCGAAATATCAGTAAATTACTCTCTGTCAACAACTCTCGCTTTCCGACATAAATCGTCACATGTAAACTTTCTTGACTCAGTCAATTTAATCAAGACCCAGGATGTTGGTGAGCCGTAGTGAAAGGGACACATAGAGGCCGGCCTTCAAAACAACTTTTAACTAAGTCTTTGGCCTGGTCAGTAATCTGCATCAATTTGCTCTCGCCGAATAAATGTGACTCCTACAAACTACTTTTTCACCGCCCACATCAAAGCTCGCAATATGATGCCTTTCCGTCTCAAGCCCGAGATCCTTGTTTCACCCGTTTAGCCAAAATGAGACGAAATACGGTAACGTATTGGCACGAGGCAGACATTGCCAATCGTGAGACTTGTTCCTTCCTAAGGCTTAATGATGCCTTCCGGAAAACGTTCCTGCAGGCGGCCAAAAAGAAATCTAGAAAATTAAGCGACCACGGGAAACAACTCCGACCGCGAGCGCTGATTTCAAATCTAATAGTGTTTTATGACAGGGAGAGAATTATGGGATGGGGGAGGGGGGAGGAGGGGGGAGTGGGGGAGTGAGAAAGATGTAAACAGCATTAGACAGACTTCTTTTTTTGTCTACTGCAGCTTGTTAGGGGTTTTTTGTACTAAAAGCATCATAAGAAAAAACAAAACAGATTGGTCACGTACTGAAGAAGCCTCAAATAAGACGGTTGCTAAAAACCTTTGAGGTACCTTTTTGCAAATCCAGACAGATATACTGGATTTGCAAAAACATGGCTGTAGAGATCTCTCTTATATACCTTCTGACTGAGTCTTGTAGTAGAGCATGTTTTTTTTTTCATGTCATAGTTTCTTTTTATTATTTAATCGAAACCGAATAGGCTGCAGTAGATAGACTTTGATGAGTTTCTCACTGGCTATTAATATACCACCCCCCCAAAAGAAGTTCCTCATAACTTCGCATAATTCTCTCGGTATGTCAGTTTGAAATCAGCGCGTGTATTAGACTGAACTCGGCTCTCATAGTGGGTTGTCTTAGAGTTTTTTTGGCTGCCTTGAGCAAAGGTTTCCGGATGGCATCATTAAGCATTATGAAGGAACAATCCTCACGACTGGCAAAGTCTGCTGTGTCCAATATCTTCTCGTATTTCGTCTCATTTTGGGCTACACGGGTGAAAGACTGATCCAGGGCCTGACATGGAAAGATTGGATATTGCGAGCTTTGTTGTTGGCAGTAACAAGTCTTTGGCGTCACAAAGTAGGTTCTAGCGATGAGATCTACTCGGCGAGATGGAAATTGACGCTGATTTCTGACCAGGCCAAAGACAAGAAAAGTTCCATGTGACGATTCATGTGAAGAAAGCGAGAGTTTTACGGACTAATTTGACTATATTTCGCCCCTGTTAAGTGAGCAAGTATTATGTGATTGCCGCGAAAGTCATTTACTGTGTGATTTACCGAATGTGTTGACAGACAAATCTCAGGTATGCGCGGTTGAGCGCGGTGTTACCAGTCAGAATACTTTGTGCCAAGCATAAAAACACTTCGTGAGTGTTTAGTTTAGTGTTCAGTTCAGTGTTTAGTTCTATTCTGTGCTCAAAGATTGTGGATTCTTAATCTGTTTTCGGCCGACATTGAGCTATGGGCCTCACGGTTTGACTGACTAAAAGATTACACGTTTCAAATGTTGTTTATATCATCGAAAAATCCTGTTACTTCTGCGAGAGAACTTCACCGTCTATTGCCAGCAATAATGCTGTCATTGTTTAGCCTCAGCTAGTGACTTTTAACGCTTTCCATTCCACTTAGATATCAAATTGTTAAAATGCTCTTGAATTTTTTTAGCCACGTTTTAGCAAATCTAGTCAGTTATATAAGCTAATGCATTAATGCACCCAAGCGTTAGTAAGTTGAATGAAAAAGAGTGCTACTTCAAACTTCTCGTCTTGCTGTTTTTTATTGGGTACATTAGTTTTGCCCTTCGGGCTTCTTTAGTGCACAGTGTAAATTTAGTCCAAAATATCACTTCAGTCTACCCAATAAAAAGCGAGGCATGTGAGGAGTAGACTTCTTTTTCATTCAACTTAAGAAGCTAGCCTTAGTGATACATTGGCTTATTTACGTCTTCAGCTGATAAAGCAAAATGCGTCAAAAGTACGGTAGTAACTCCTACGAAGAATAATAGTGGATTGTCAGCTGTTGCTACTGCTGGAATTGCCCTTGGATGTGCCATTCCTATTATAGCACTGGTGATCATCTTACTAATTTTGGTAAGCCAAGTTTTTGATTCCATCATATTCTTAAAGACAGGGTTGATGATAGTTACCTTTAAATTCTGAGACGAGGACGACTACGAGGAGGAGATTTTCTCAATACTCGCACGCGTGTGAAACATCATCAGTTTGGCGGGCAAACGTAATAGGTTTAATTATAAATTGTTTTTAATTAGTTTTTTGGGTGAAAATGAATATTTCAAAAGGCTGAATGACTCGCAAATGTACGTAAAATTTCAGGAGTTGAAAGTAGACGTTTGTACCTTCACGTTAATATTTATTAGTTATTACAAATAATTTTCATTTGACACTATTATTGCTATTTTTCTTAACTGAATAGCTTACAAGACGCTATAGGCAAACTGTGGATCCACCTGTGGAGAAAGACAACAGTATATCCATGCAACCGATTGAATCAAGTCCAAAAATTTCTCATGCCCCTGATGTCCTGCCTTTGTCCTCTTCTAACCACGCTTACGAAGATATAGAACTACCACAAGGAGGCCCGACTGCCACGAGTCAGTTGCAACGTCAGAATGCTGTTGATATGCCCGCCACCCAGCAACCATCTCATCAACCTCGTGAACCAGCTGTTCTCGAGAAACAACGAAAGATGAGCACTCAGGGTGCCTCGTCAGGACGACCTGCACCAGCTACGAGAAGGCCTTCCGATGTGATACCTTCTCGAGTGAGAAGTTTAACTGACACCAGTGAGCCACCACCTGTTCCCAGCACAAGAAGGCCATCCCAGTGTGATACCACCGTGCCAAACACGCATCGGTTCCGAAGTCTATCCGAAGACAGTCCAATGCAAGTCACGGGCTTCACCAATAAACGACCACTGGTTTTTGGCTCAGGAAGAGATGATCCACCAGCTCTTGTTCCTCGAGTAAGGCGGCCTTCAAATGGCAGTTTGTCAGAAAACAGGTCTGATTTCCCCTCCATGATTCCTATTTCTGGCCAAGAAAAAGCTTTATACAGCAATATAACACCTATTTCTGAAACAAGTGAGGACTTTACAGCAGAACATAATGAGGATGACACCGACGCTGATGGGTACATCAAATGACTTCGTTCCAGGGATGGTCCTCAAACTGTAGTTCAAGTGTAGTTCTTAGTGTGCCTTAATTCCTGCTTCTAGGTTTCGCAAAAAGCCGTAGATGGTCCATTTCTGTGAGGCTACAGTTGTTTTTTTCTGGGCAATTAACAAATTCCAGCGTCAAGGTCTTAATAGCTTGGCCATGTTAGTGGTAGCTGCAATGCACAACTTTCATATGGCGCGTGGTTGCTGAACTGAATTTAACTGCTTCAAACAAGGCATTTCAGGTCTACTGCTGATTAGTATGGCATGTCAGGTGAAGACTTAAAAATCCCTTACATACTTTTCAAACGTATCGTTGTTAACGCTGTATAAGTACTCTAATCAACATGGCGGACTAGCTGAAGACGCGATTGTTACATACTTAGGCCTAGGCTAAACGCCGAACTTTTCATTAGACGAACCAAACTTGGTGAGTTAAGTTCATGAAACGGTCTACGTCTGGCTAATTTACGTTCTTCTGAATGAGTTTGGATCGTCCAACACTTCGTATCCGTCTGCATCAGACGGATAGAACGTCTAAAGATAGTCTTCGGGCGAACTCGATATTCACATGCGACGAACTAAACTAATAAATTAACAATTTTATCATAATGTACATTTAGTCTCTTTCGGCAGAAAATTTATCACTGAACTTACTCAGCTGATTGGTTCGACGCGTCCGAAGTTCGAGGTCTGACCCACCGACAACCTCAACTTAATTTAGGTCGACCTAAATTAGAGTTTGGTTCTTCGTCTCATGAACAGTTGGACGTCCAAAAGATACTTGATGACCAGGTGGCTAGCCCCTGGATACGTATCCATTCGCAACCGATTTCAGTTTTCTTTGCTGATTTTGCTTTTCCAACCCAGATGAATATTCTTATTTTACTGACGATTTTATCCTGAAAAAGTTCTGGTTTTATTCTTCAATTATATCTTGCGAATTTTCTGTTTTAGAATGTACTGGGATATAAATTGAAATCGATGCAGGTTTCCTACTTTTGGTGGCTAGTTTTGTCGTTTAGAGAAAGGGATAATTTTATACGGTCGAGTTAAAAACACAAAATTGTATTTACAGATTTTCAACACAGAAAATTACATCCTTTTCAAAATCTCAGCCTTGGGTTTATTCTTATCATATTCTTAAAATTTCCCAAATTTCACCTCTATATTCTTATAGGATATATATCTTCTTATAAAGAGTGAATAAGCACACGTTACGATCCCGATAGGTTAGCTAGTATATATCAGGTTTAATCCTTTATTGTCTGAAACCTATAAAAAGTTTAGCCTTTGTAGCGGCCATGATCCTGATGCTTATCGGAGTTAGCTGATGTACTGCGATATTATGCCGAAGAAAACTTAAATGAAATGTTGCGCTAGAACAATAATTATATTAGAAGTCAATAATTGTTTATCGCTTCTACATTTTAAAGGGGCTGTGTCACGGCAGTCCAGTTCACTTTGTTTAATTTTTTACCAATTACTAGCCCTCAATCGCTATGGAACTTAAAGTATGCAAAGAAATTACATGCAAATGACAAAATCAGAGATCCGAGACAAACAAATATGTCTCCTGAGCATTATTTTTGAAATTGTAAGCAGCAGGGATCAACTTTGAAAAACTGTTAGGCTGAACAGTTTTAAAAAACCCTAATTTCAATCCTTTTCAGTCAGTTTTGCCCATCCGTGGCATCTGTTGTTTCTGTTATGTTATTTTAACCTTCCTTTAAAGTTTTAAGCGGTTATTTTTATGTTTCTCTTAATTTCACGGGCATTTTGTAATTTCCTAATTTGGCTGAATTTCGTGACACAGCTCCTTTAATATTCATAGCTTTCATCGTAATTGGATAGCTTACTGTGCTTTTCACAAACATGCGAACTCTAAGGGTGCGTTCGATTGGGAAATCTGGATTTAGATTTTAAAATCCGGATTTCGGATTTGCAATCTAACGCGAAATCCGAAAACAGATTTCAACGCTGAAGCATTTGGTTTTGGATTTTCCTTTTTACCGTTCGATTGGAAAATCCGAAAAAGGATTTGAAAAACTAGCTGTCCTTAGGAACAGTGGTTTTGCATGCGCTCGCATAATTAGTAAAAAGAAGACCGCTGTTCACGAGAATAGTTTTGCAAATCCTTTTTCGGATTTCCCAATCGAACGGTAAAAGGGAAATCCATGAAATCCTAATTTGGATTTCTTAATTTAAATCCACCCTGAGGACGGATTTCTCGGAGGTGAAATCTGTTTTCGGATTTCGCGTTCGATTGCAAAATCCGAAATCCGGATTTCAAAATCTTAATCCGGATTCCCCAATCGAACGCAACCTAAAGTTCATAAGCCGCCTTCACAATTGCGTTTTTCGCTGCCGTCAATCATAATTACGATCACAAGCAACGAACCTTGAAACACAGAAACAGAAAAAACGGGTCGAGATCCACCAATCCCAAATCACAAACCATGACCTTTTGAACCCGTTAAAGTAGATTTTTGTTTCCTAAAAGGTCCGTTAAGATGATTGACGGCAGCGAAAAAAGAATTCAAAATTCCCCTGTTGGTGCAAAGCGTAGTAACTACTTTGCTAAAGAATCTAGAGTTGAGGTTCTCTTTTATTGGTTTAACTGAGACCTGGCTTCGAGATTCACCGCATCATACCGATATTTCAGGTTATATTTTTGTCCACAATCTACGTGAAGATATGACAGGCGGAAGTGTATGTCTATATTTAGTGGACAATTTTGATTTTAATGTCGACCTCACATAGTTTTTTCTTGCACTGAATGTGCTGAGTCTTTGTTTGTAGAAATTAACAGGCCGAAAGAGAAAAATAAAATTGTAGGTGTGGTTTACAGGCCACCAAATCAAAATTTGCAAGATTTTATGAATATCCTGGATTCGCTGCTTGCAAGTATCTCCAAGGAAAACAAGATTAGCTATGTTTTAGGTGACTGAAAACTAGACTTGAATCCTTGTCCAGAGTGAATTCATCAGTTCATTTGATCTACCATGATCCGAGTGATCTAGGATCACTGATCCTGATCCGTATCACCCCAAAGGAACGCACCCATCTGAGCCATCTGAGCCACCACCTCATGAAACAATTGGATAATTTTTAGAAATTGTGGGCCAAATATTTAAACGAAGTCTAACTTAAGCCGCGAATGAACAAAGTGAAAGTTAAGAATGTTACTTTGAGCAAACCTTGGATTACTAAAGGTCTTCTTAAATCTGTAAGAAAAAAGAATTTATTAGTCTCGCTTGCGTAAGCAGTGAGACTCATAATCTGCAAGCCGTTTTTTTTCTTCGTATGTAGTACAGTGGAACCTCTCGGTACGGACACCTCTCTAATACGGACATCTCTGTGTTAAGGACAGTTTCCAATGTCCCGACGAAACTGTCATATATTTTCTTTAACAAACCCTTTATAATACGGACTCTCTCTAATACGGACAACGGACACTAAATCTCGGCCCCAGAGAGTAAATTCATATAAACTTAATCTCTTTATTACGGATACTGCGGTGATCAGGTGAATCCCGCTCAGGAGAATCTTCACAGGGTGAATCCCGTCTGGCTGATGAGCTATGTAATGTGACTTCAAAAGCCCAGTCGCTGTATATCAAACAACGATATGCAAAAGATATACAGAGGAACATAACCGACTTTTTTAAGGCTTGAATAACTACAGATAGCATAATGATCTTCTATTGCATTTTGTACTCTATAGCTACTATTTAAAAAAGACGCTTTCAGAATTGTGCTTTACGTTACAACCTTTTACATGCAGCAACGCGCTGTAGCTGGTTTCGTTTTAAAACAGTGATTTGTCTACGACTGTACGTGCGTAGCTGATGTGACCAATGTTGAATGCTACTGAAGGACAGTGTCTTTGTACTGTGAATTAATAAACTTAAGGTATCATCCACCCTCAGGCACCCTCCTCGCGTTGATCGGCGCTAGCGCTTTTGCTTTTCATTAATACCCCCATAAACCGTACATTTTCTGAAAGCTTAATAGTTCCAGATTATTGCTTATTCCTTTTAAAAAATCAAAATATTAACGCGATTTAGACATGAGAAGCTTTTTGTGAAAGTGGGTGTCACTGTAAATTTAAGTCCAGGCCAGCCAAAATTAAACGAAAGAAGCCAATTAAGATCGCATTCGCTTCTTAACACGTTTGACTAAAAACCGTGTCTCAGATTTTTGTCAAGTGCGTTTGTTCTTTTGTTTCAAGTAGTTGACGTTAGGGATAGCAACTCATTAGCACTACCTGTGAAATAACTGCTCTAACTCGAAAACGAAAAAAGAAATCGAAATTCACAGACACGGTTTTTTAGAAAAACTATCCGACAATAGGTTGGCCAAATTTCAGCCAAATTGGTTCACGGGTTGCCAACTTGGAGTTTAAAACGTGGAAAAAGAGTTTTGGCGGCGTATTACACGTGACGAGATTATAACAGATTATAACACCAAAGCTGTCAATGTTGATGCATACCAAAGAAGGGACAACAATAGTGACACACCAGGAAAAGGTCAAAAACGAAACCCGACAACAGATAAACAATTTATTTCAAAGGCTTTACTCGGTTCTATCCTTTCTGTTGTCTAGAAAGCATCGTTACTTATTTGCGACAGGCAGTTTTCATTTTCGCACCGGGCAAGCCAAGTTGAGCCAAGCCCACTTTTACTCGATACAATTTCTAAAAGTTCGACACTTCCCTGGAAAAATTGACAACAAACCGCTTCCTGGAGTTTTTCTTGAAGCTTCTCTCCTGCTACTATAGACTTTCAAAACAGTCCTTCGTCCGATTTTTATATGGCGTGGGACCTCTCGCGACTTCATTGCTCGCCTCACCGCTTCGCGACCAAAAAAGCTTGTCCCGCTCGCTAAGAAACTCGTTTAACTCGATTCCGCGGTGGTTTCAATGGGTTTTTTTTCAGAGCTTTGTGTTTCTTTTAGCCATTTTTCTTGATTGTAGTAGTAGCCCT